TACCTGTTGGTGAGTCTACCTGTAAGTCAGTCTACCTGTAGGTGAGTCTACCTGTAGGTGAGTCTACCTGTAGGTGAGTCTACCTGTAGGTCAGTCTACCTGTAGGTGTGTCTACCTGTAGGTCAGTCTACCTGTAGGTGAGTCTACCTGTAGGTCAGTCTACCTGTAGGTGAGTCTACCTGCTGTGTCTCCGAGGCCCAGCTGTCCGTGGTCGTTCCTCCCCCAGCAGATCAAACCTCCGGACACCGTCAGGCTGAAGCTCTGGTCTCCGCCGGCGGCGACCTGGACCAGCGGGATCTCGGCCAGCGAGCGGACGTGCTGAGGAGAACCGGAACCAGAACTTATCTTCCCCAGACCCAGCTGGCCTCTGGAGTTCTGGCCCCACGTGTACACCTGCCCGTCTGTGGAGGAACCACCAGAACATTTATCCTGATGCCTTCAACAATCTGGACTCGAGTGGGCGGATATTTAATTTATGTCCTGGTGAAGGTCGCCAGTGATCGTCCTCAACCAGACGAAACATTTAAAGGCTGAGTGCAGGAGTTCTGAGTTAATCATCTGATCAGAGCTCTTCTCTTCTCAAACATTCTAATGTTTAGGATCTGAGCACTGAAGGTGGAGGAAACTCTTGGAACCCTTCTCATGATCATTATTATTTTTGAGTCCTAAACATGCTCAGAAACTCAGGATTTGCACGCACATCTGAAAAATGTGATATTTGAGGTGACTTGGGCATGTGAGTGGCAAGACGGCTCCACAGCGCCCCCTAGAAGATTTCACCTGAGTACCATCGGAGGTACGTTTCACCTAGAACTACGAAATTTGGTAGGCGTACATATCATGTATCATACATATCAGACTTCCTGTTGGCCACAACAAACAGGAAGTCCGGCATTTTGAAGAAACGGCAGGATTTTGGACGATTTTTGCTCATTTTCAAAACCAATCTTCTTGTAGGGGGGTAACTCCAGCACGAGCTACAGGACCTGGTGATTAATGGGCACTAAAACGCTCCGCAAAAGTCTGACGGCATATAAGTGGCGGCTCCTGGAATTTCGATGATTCGACATAAACAGGAAGTGCCGTGTAACCAGCCTGTACGTGGTCCGATCGGCCTGAAGCTTTACACATTAGATCAGAGCCCCAGCCGAAACCCTGACATGCACGAAACCCCGACGTGCACGACACCCTGACGTGCACGTCACCTTGACGGCATTCGTCGAGGACACGTCCATCGCTGCCTGCAGCTTTAATTTGAGATTGATTCTATAGGTTCTCATGAGCTGTAATCCGTTATCGTCAGAGTTAAAACAAATAAAAGCTCAAAATAGTTCAGTTAATGTGTCCTGAGTGTGGAATATATGAATATATTTCACTTTGAGCGATGTGTGGTGACAAACGTTCCCACCACATTGTATTTTTATATATAGCTCCACCCACCTCTGGTCAGGACGACCGAGTGTCGACTCCCACAGGACACCTGACAAACTGGAATGTTGGAAAAAGCTTCCAACGGCCTGAAAGGTCAGAAAACAGAAACAACAGAAACAACAGAGCTGAAGCACTGATTCATCACAGAACACGGGACAAAGATTTTTTTCACTCAAAAACTGTCATTTTACTGTTTTTTTCTTCTACAGCCTGAAGCTGTACACGTTTGTTCTTTACAAATCTGTAGTTTTAGATATTTTCTTAGAAAAACTGTCATTTTACAGATTTGCTCCTTAACTTTTTTCTGCATTTTTTAAATAAATAAATAAACACACCGATAAAATTACAGAAATAGTCCTGTCTGATGTGAAGTAATATTAAAAACCAGTAACTGGGAATAATCATGAAATGTTTTGGGGTTTTTTATACACAAAGAAAAATGTTGTGTAACATCACAAATATTCCTATTTTATTTAATAGGTGCAAAACTGCTGAATTCAAGTTAAATACTGTAAATATAGATATAGAATTTTTTAAAATATATTTTTGGGGCTTTTTTAGGCCTTTATTTTAGAGCAGTGGAGATAGACAGGAAAGGGGGCAGAAGAATGAAGAGAGGCCTGCAGCTAACTACAGCTAGCTACAGCTACCTGCAGCTAACTACAGCTACAGCTAGCTACAGCTACCTGCAGCTAACTACAGCTACAGCTAACTACAGCCAACTACAGCTAACTACTGCTAACTAAAGCTAAAGCTAACGACAGCTAACTGCAGATAGCTACAGCTAACGACAGCTAACTGTAGCTAACTGTAGCCCTGTTCATGTTCCTGTTCTGTAAATATATTTTTTTTAATTTGTGTGCAATTAGTGAAAGTTTCCAGCAAAGTATTATTTCTGTAATGTTAAAGATATTTATTTGTTAAATGAGACATTTCTGGAGGTTTTCTCAACCAAACGCTGACTGGATGTGTTTTCATGTGTCTGTGAGCCCTGGAGATAAATAAAAGTTTAATTAATCACTGAAGTGTTTTAAAGCCTCTCTGGTTCCATCCAGCTCGTCTGCATCTGCTGGTTTTAGATCCGCATTCAGTCAAATGTGACAGCAGTGAAATCTAACTCTTTTTTAAATTTATTTTAACAAATCCAGTAAATGTTTTAAAGCCTCTGAAGGACAAACTAGTGCAGGTTTTGTGTTCTAAGTGTGTAATAAATGTTGTGTGCTCACCTCAGTACCTAATTAGGCGAGTCACTCTGGATTTAATCAGGACGTGCAGCTTTAGATTTTCAGATGCTTTGTTGAACAGGTGCTCTCAGACCTCAACCTGAACGCCAACATCCAGCTCCTACGTCATCACGCACGCAGGTATCATACCAGCACATGACAATAATGACATGAGGAGTCACTGTTAGAGACGTTTAGCACCATTTTTAGTTCATGTGGGTCCAGATTTAACCACGAAATCTGCTCACATCCTTCAACAGAGGAAACTGTAAAACTTTCTGATTTGATATTTATTCTATTTATGAAAATGCAAAAAAAAAAAAAAGAAAAAAAAGATTTTCCTGCTTTTATTTTTGCACTTGGACCACATGACAATGATTACACAGAGGAGCAGAAGGTGACCAGCTGACTTGGGCTCCATGCCTCTCACCTGGCCGTCAGGGGGAACCGAGCCGGGTCCACGGACAGCAGCGCTCCTCGGTCCGACAGCAGCAGAACCTGGTCCTCAGCCCCGCAGCTCACAGCCGTCAGCTTCTCTTTGCTCTTCACGAACTCTGCAGACAAACAGCAGCTCAGCTCGGTTCTGTTCACTCACAAGGTCCAGCATAAGGTTCTGTTCTTACTCTGCTTCCCCCTCAGCCTCCGTCCGTCGCTGCTCTCAGCTGTTCTCATGACGAACGCGTTTCCGTTCGACTTGACGAAGCCCAGGACGCCGCGAGCCGCCGACAGCCCGGACACTCTGTAGCCGACCTGCAGGTGCTCCACCCCGGCCTCGCTGCGGGACTCGGGCCGCTGCTGGAGCCGGAAGCCCCGGTGTCCGTCCTGCCCCCAGACCAGCATGGTGCTCTGAGCCGCCGCGGCTCCGAGGATCCGTTTTATCCGCAGCGCGAAACGAAACTTAACGTGAGCTGGAAAACGAAACTCAAACAAAGATCAGCTGCTGGAAAACGAAAGTAAAGCAGAGCGAAGCTTTCTGAGCCTCGTTTTCATAGAAGGACAGAAACACAAGGCTGGAAGCAAGGTCTGCACGGGAACCTTCAGGGAACATTGAGGCAACGTTCCCTGAAGTTTAAAAAGGTAACCTTCAGGGAACATTGAGGCAACGTTCCCTGAAGTTTTAAAAGGTAACCTTCAGGGAACATTGAGGCAACGTTCCCTGAAGTTTAAAAAGGTAACCTTCAGGGAACGTAGTCTCAATGTTCCCTGAAGGTTACAAATGGTAACTTTTAGGGAGCCTCAATGTTCCCTAAAGGTTGTAACCTTTAGGGAACATTCCCTGAAGGTTTTGAGATTGTTTTCCTGTTCAGTGAATGTTTCCTGAAGGTTACCTAAAGACAGCACAAGGGAACGTTCAGGGAACACATAGATGCATATCATCCAGCAAACAGTAACCTTGAGAGAACATTCACTAGTTCTTGTACTTTTTTGTGGCAACCTTCAGAGAACATTCCCAGAATGTTCAAGGAATGTTCAGAATTAATATTTTCTAAAGGTTTCCTGAAAATTCCAAAAGTAACTTTTGGGGAATCTTTAGGGAACTAAATTAACTTTCAGGGAACCTTCAGGAAACATATCCTAAAGGTTCCCATAATGTTCCCTCAAGGTTACTTTTCTGTAACCATCAGAAAATGTTTAATAAAAGTTCCCTGAAAATTATAGAACCTGAGGGGAACATTCCCAGAACATTCAAAGGACTTTTAGGGAACATATCCTGAAAGGTTCTGAGACCCTTACAGGACTGGTACCACTATAAGACATCCCATAATACTGATGCTAGAGGACATGAAGAGAAATCCCCAAACACGTGTTGACAGCTACGAGAACATGAGTGTTTAAAACGACTCAGAACGTTGGTCAGAGTGACAGAAGCTCTCAGATTTGTCCAGAATGTCTTGAAATTTGTCTACATTTTTAAAAAAATTTTCAGACAGACACCTGGATGGATGTAGAACTGATCTGGTGTCAGGTTCTAGCAGAACCCAGATGTGTTCTTCCTCCTAAATGTCATGTGTCTATCTGCTGTACTGATGAAGTTCTGAGGCTCAGAAATGATGGAAAAAGTCCATTAAGGTGATCAATCTGGACCCTCCTCTGTGGACTTCAAGGTTCTGGAACCTGCTGAAGGTCGACTCACGTGTTTAACTCATTTTGAGGCTTTTATGTCTTTTGTTTTTTGTAGCTTCGGTGATAATAAGACGAGGACAGACGTAACGAGGCGAGAAGGAATAAATAAAGACGACAGAGACGAACCGGGTCAGAACAGAACAGAACATTTAAACATCACGTCTGAGTACAAAACCAACATTAATGCAATCAGAGGAGGGACAGTCTGACCAGGTCCTGGTCCGTCCACAGGAAGTGTCCCCTTCACATGTATACGTCCGCTAAATACGAGTTCCCGCCCGTTGCCGTGGCGACGAAGGATTATGTACATCTTGACCACAGCCAGCGCGACGCAGCTCAGAGTCCAGAGATATTTACACCACAGAGACGAGACACGACAGAGACCCGAAGGAGCTGCTCAGAACAAAACCCGACGGGTTAAAACGAGAAGCAGCTTTTACTGTGAAGGAGACAGGAAGAGACAGAAAAGCTCCGTCCTGTGGCGACGGACGGAAAAGCTCCAGTGGAAGGCGTTTGTCTGGTTTGTCCACAGAAAGATAATAAATAAGCTTTTCTCAAAGTAGTCGGACGTATTTACACACAAGAGCTGAAGACGAATGAAAAACAGTCCAGGAAACGTTTTAGTCTGACACGAGACAGGAAGTCGGTCCGGAGCTGCAGCGGTTCATCACTCAGAGGTTCAGCTGATCTGAGTCACTGTTCACAGAGAAGAGGGCTCAGCTCTCTGATTTCAGCTTCTCAAATGGGAAGTTTTCAGGTTTCTTGGGTTTGTTTTGGTGTCGTTTCATTTAACCTTTTTTTTTTCTAAGTCAAACGTGATTCAGATTCCTCCTGAAGCGGAATCAGAGACGAAGCGGAGCTTCAGACGGCGGCGTTGGAGGGTGGATGAACCAGAGACAGATGAACAGGTG